TGTGAGTAAGCCTTGCCCTGACTTAGATTAGCCCAGAGGTTGTTTCAGGGTTTGATCTGTGAGTAAGCCATGCCCTGACTTAGATTAGCCCAGAGATTGTTTCAGGGTTTGATCTGTGAGTAAGCCTTGCCCTGACTTAGATCAGCCCAGAGGTTGTTTCAGGGTTTGATCKGTGAATAAGCCATGCCCTGACTTATATTAGCCTAGAGATTGTTTCAGAGTATCAATAAATTTTAAAGGCATTTGAAGGATACATAATGTTGTAGCACTACATGATGTTTTGTTTCCTCCCTTTAAATTAGGAATATTACTCTCAGCTTGTCCGTGACCTACTCAGCCAACAAACAGACCCTATGATATCACAGCGCCTACTTATAGCCTTCAATAACCTGACTCCTAACAACATGAGGATTGCCCTGGACAAAACCAGTAAAACCTGCTTTAGGCGAAGTCTTGATACATTCTTGACAACAGTTAAAGGTTTTCTCTTCACCAAGTGATTTCAAATGGCGTTTTAATGAAGTATACAAGAATTATTCATCAGGTCAAGAGTGGGATTTTTTTCTTTAAATATGGACACTGTTGGATATGATGAATACATTTTTATGTGCTGATGTACACGAAGTCTTCTGAGTCTTCCTAACTACATTACAATATAACCTCTATTTATCATCAGTATGGAGCAAAGAAAGTGCAATAGACTAAATTCCACAAAGAAATTTCTACCAGAACAAGGCTGCCTGAATAAGCTGTAAAGGTTYATTTTAACTTTCACCTAGAAAGATGGTTTGTGTTGGCCAACATTGTAATGTCCCACATTGCTGTTATTTCTTGTTAAACGTTTGACTAACTGTGAAAAACAACTGTCCTCTTTCATGACAATAGTATGAGATAAGACTAGTTGATCCATAAACACTGTCGCTTTGCAGAGTCAAAGTAAAAAGGCCATAGGTCATTCCAAGACGGAAAGGAATGATGGGCACATGCAACAAATCACAGCAAATAAAATGGTTCTTTAATAAGCCTGAAGCGAGATGATGTTTTACCCCCGTCTCTAGACCATAATCCTTTTCACACTGCTTTTGTTCTTTCATTATGACTATTGTTCCTGTATTCTCTAAGGAATCAAAAATTTTAATATGAAAGAATTTTAAAAACTATTATGGTATAGAGTCGGGGGTAAAACGTCATCTCGCTTCAGGCTTATTACGAATAATATACAATTATTAGATGAGGTCGAGCATGATATCGTAAATTATCAAAACCAAGGCCGTGGATAAAACGGCCGATAATTTACGATATCATGCGAAAATGGAATTCAATTGTTTTATCATACATTTTTAAAACTAAGAATAAAAATTTAATTCTGCTTTCAAAGAATAGTAAACGTATTTCAATCTCAATTTTGACCTCGCATAAACTTGACATGATAAATGCAATATCTGAAGGAAAACCTACAAATATTGCATTTATCATGTCGAGCAGTAGCGTAGCGAGGGGGGGCATGTGCCCCCCCAGAATTTTTGAAAAAAATTTTTTAAAAAAAAAGAAAAACAAAAAAAACATATTAAACCGAAACGAAAGAGGAAAATAGATTATTACAACCTACAAAAGTGCGAATTTATACGAAGTTATCCGGACGGGCTACCTGTGCACTGCGAACCCGGTCAGAGCCTGGAATCTGCACATGGGAATTTGAATTTTTTTAATATTTTGGATCAGTGCCCCCCAGCTCCTAGGTCCTCGCTACGCCCCTGATGTCGAGTTCACAGGATATCATGGATTGCCGGAGGGCTCTCCAGCAATGTTTGAGTAGCTGTAGTACCAACTCGCTTCTCGCATCTGGGGCCCACCTCTGTTTCGATTCCTGGACTCAGCATCATGGTAGAAGAGTTTGTCTGGGTCTCTTCCTTGTTAGGGTTTTGTCATGGTTTTCCAGTTTTACTTCCTTGGCAAGACCGAAAACGCTTTTAATATTTCAATTCTGTGAGAGGGGCGGGATCGGAAATCTTTACGTCTAGTTTTTTAGATACCGCTTTTGTGGCTTTGTTATAGAGAAATGGGAATTTTATTAATATTTTAATTTGTTTTGATTTCCTTTGTTCATTCTCAGCCCCCCCCCCCCACTGCCTGCGAATTGGTGGCTTTTAGCACCCCTCCTTTCCCAAGCCTTCAGCTGTGCATGTCCTGTGCAGCCCAGAGGTTTTCACTTTGTGTTCTCAAATCACAGCAGGAAACCCATAGAGAAAAATTACCTATTTCAAGCAGGTTCCAAAAGCCAGGCCCYGTGAGAAGATTTGATTTGTAGATTTGTATGACCCAACTCTTTTTAACAGACATCATTTAATGACAAGACCATTGTTCTCTTTGTGATTTTTATTAGTTTCTAATTTTGTGTTTAGCAGAGTGCAAGCACTAAACCTGTGAATAATATTTAATACTAATTAGTACTATTTCATACAGAATCCTTTGTTTCCCATTGTTTGATTATCACTATTTAGTACTAAAAATTAGTATTTGTTTCACAGGTTTAGTGCGAGCACTCTAACACAATTGGTAATCATTAGTTCAAACATCAACTCAAACATTAAGACCCTTATCTGAGCTTTTGATCAACGAGATAAGTGAAATAGATGCAGTTTGAAAGCAGCAAAAAAATCTACGTGTATACAGTATTACCATGCTACCCTTTAAGTAAAGTTCAAGGGATTCAGAATGTAAACCATACCCAAGGGGGACGGTGGTGTGATTGTTAGGCCTTTCCATTATCCTCTTCTTCCTCACCAGATATTAGAATGATCAGCTGATTTTTATCAAGATTGTTTGAACGCAACAAAAAGGATTTTAAAATTGTTACTTTCTTATGAAATACATCACAAAATGATGCCACTGGCAGTTGATAGAGGAGTGGTCAATGGTTCTTATGTGGAGATGACAGCCATATTATACAGGCATTATTGCAATCAATACCAGAATATGCATGAATACAGAAATGTAGATCTTGATCAAGTCATTTTATATTTTATCCAGAAACAAGCTTAAAAGTAGCAAAACCTTTCTGATGATTACAGTTCTTACATTTCAATTGGGAGACATATTCCTCCAGAGCTAATATAATACTTGAAATATCCGAGTATTGCTGTAAATCAAGGAAAGGAATTGAAGAAAATTTCTCAACTATCAGCGCAGTGAAAAGAAAAAAAATCATTGCATCATAATCTAATTTTTATATCAATATTAGAGTGCAAACAATATAACCGTGAAACTTTAGTAATACTAAATAGCACAATTTCATGCAAATTCCATTGTTTTCTATTGTTTAATTTGCACTATCTTGTAGCATTTAGTAATTAGTGTTTCACGGATTAATTGTTTGCACTCTATCATGTAGATGGACTTTCATCATTCAAGTGTCCATTTTTGAATAATATACTACAGTTGAACCCTGTCATTGAAATAGAGACACCTACAGGGTCCTCCTTACCCTGTATTAACGCAGTCATTTTTAAGAGTAAATGCCATCCACTGGGACAAAACAATAGGCCATAAATAGCTGGGTGTCCATATACAGTGGGTGTCACTAAAGCAGGATTGAACTGTATTTCAAAAAAATGGTTTAAATGGTACTTTTTACAGACTATCTAATCAATTAATTAGACATGACACTGCGCAGGTTTGACAGGAAAGGTGTCGTCCATATAAGTCATGCCAGGTGAAATTAATCCATTTGTGCAAAACTAGAATAATTATTACTGGCAATAACTAAAGTGTTATGTAGCTAGCTTTTCACACATACAAATGAATTTTAGGATAACACTTGTCATTGTCAGATTTAAATGTCTACTTGGTTTATCTTTTGCTCTAAAAGACATTTTCCCAAAAATATTGAAGAATTCAGAAAGAAAAAATCTCAGACATTTTCAACAGATACGGAAGTCAATTTTTCTGTCCTTCAGTTGAACTTTGTAGGAATTTTTCAACATGTCCATGTTGTACATTGCAAACTGTCCTTGCATTTTTCCTTTTTTGCATATTTTAGTCTTCAGAATTGTGACTTCCAGCTTCTTGTTCTTGTCTACTTTAATATATATTTAAATGATCAGAAACATAATATCCATTAAGCGTAGCTCATTCTTTGTTAGGAACTTAGATCTGTGAAAAAAAATGAGATAAAAGTTTTAGGGGTACATACACCTAATTGAAAAAACGTGGGGTTCAAAAAAAGGTTATATCATCAAAGCTAAGAGCGAAGGGGAGCATGGGAAGACTAACAATAATTATGCTATTTTCATACGCATTGCAGTTTTCCCTTTCTGTGCACATTTTGCTCTACTGTGCATGTTTACATGTCTATATGCAAATATAATACACATTTTGGAGTACCCAAAATCCTTTTCAAACCCAACCCCGCTAACAAGAAATGAAAAGCGCCAGTTTTCTTATTTTGTAAAGTACTTTAACATGTGTTTTAATAGTAAAAATTGGAGACATAAAAATTCAATTGTAGTGGCATGTTAAGATATGCGATGATATGGAATTCCAGAGGGGGAGGGGGCAATATACATGGAATTCCTTGGGCAAGGTGCCTTTAAAAATTTTGGAATGAAGGTAAGGGAAARTAGATGCCGCTGTGGTAGGGCCTGGGTAATTTTGGAACCACACATTAACGAGGGCAAGCGGGAGGTGAGTTGGATTGGCTTTGAGAGTTGAATGCAAATGAGGATGATTCTGTATCCCAATTAAAGGCTTCTCCTGAATGACTGATTCCTTTTGAGTTTTAACTCGAAAAATATTCATAATTTGATAGCACTCTTTATAGTGGTACTTACAGCATCCACATCAGCATCTTCACCACGTTCATCATAGAGATCATCAAAGGCAATTTCATCTTCTTCTTCTGGTGCGAATGTGGTGTCGTTGATTTTAGCTGCACAGAAAATTTAATGTTAGGACCAACAAAAAAATGTGAAAATACTAAGAATACCACATAATACAACTACATACTACACAATACAACCAAAATACCTACCTGTTTCTGGTAGCTCTCCATAAGATTTCAAGTTACGAGCCTCATCTGTGTTGTAGCGCAGAATGACATCGGCCTTGGTGTCCTGGTAGTCTCTTAGTCCAAGGAGAATTATATCTCCAGTATTTATCCACACCTGATACAAAATAGTATTTTCAGTTACATCCTGTCGCAAATGAAGTATGAAATGTCATTTTCTTCACAGTGCTTTGCAATTACATGAATGAAATCATACAATTTGCCATTAGGACAAATTATGATATGGTGAATGTCAATCAAATCATTTCCATTACATTTGATAGAAATTTGTTCTTGAAAACTTTGTGTTTTCCATCAAAGTCATTGAAACACTTTGCAATATGGCATATTATAACATTCCACAAGTATAATTAAGAAGTACTTTAACTTCAGTGACTAGGAGTATGGGATTATAAAATCCTTAACTTGTTTAAATACAAATTCATGTATCATAAAGTATTAAAGCAGCTGTTGACAGCTGGCACATGCTAATTGATTGGACTGTAGACTGGAACCCTTTAACAGAAGCCTGCAAAGGTCTCTTGTCAAGGTCCTGAAGACTTCTGGGTACTATTGCACAACATGTCCATTTCGTCGGGGAGGAATCAGAAAAAAAATACAAAGGCATTTTATGACCAGTTTACCACAGGTACCCCGGTAAAAAGGTTTTGGTATTACTTCCCATCTGTAAAACTTTGGATAACCTCGTAATCATTATAGAATCACTGGTTGCTTGACCAATCGCACTAAAAAACTCTATATTCAAGTCTAAAATTATTCTAATTAACAAAAAAAACAGCTTTTTCCGTGCTCCCTTCAGCAATAAAGCACGCAGAAAGTGGCATAATCACGAAAAAAAGCGTGAGAAGCACAAGCAGTAGGCGAGCGCTTCTCACACTTCTTAAGTACTTACGTTGCTTTCTAAGTGCTTTATTACTAAACAGAGCACAGAAAAAGCTGTCTTATTCGTTTTATCATATAGTTTCTAATTCTATTTCTGTATTGAATTTAATGACGCAAAAAGAAAGACGGTCGCAGAACCTAGCGGCACTTGACACACGCAGATGTCGTCAACACTGTGCTCCATTGATTAATAAAGTTTTGACCAATCAATGCGTGCTTACTACCCTTATAATACTGTATAATAAATAAAAATAAAGTGTAGGGTGTTCTGTATTTGTACTCAACATTTCCGATCCTGACAACATTTTTTAGGCAGTGGCTATTCATATGGTAACTGTATGCCGACTTGCAATTTCTATTTGTACGGATATCGAGGATTTTGGTTCTCCTCACTTAGAAAAAAAATTCAATGGGAGGCAAGATTCGAACCTCGCACCCTTGGCACCAAATGTTATTACAATGCCTATCCCAACCCTAACCCTAAACCTAGCCACTCAGCCACGAAGTGAATTCACTGGAATGCTTTCCAATTTTTGTCCTATTTAAAACAATATCAAAATATTTCAATATCCGTACGAATAGAAATTGCAAGTCGGCCACTGCGTATTTTTTATCCACTACGATTTTGTAAAATATCAGATAATTTATTTGTGTAATAAAAAGTGAATGACAATATTTCATTTTTTCTCATTCCTGAGAATAAAATCTTTACTGAACACAAATAATTAAGCTTCCTGTATTAAAGGATTTCTATACGAGTATTGCACCATTTGAAAATTATATGGAAGATGCCTCATGAATAACTCAATTGAATTTAAACATGAAAGACAATGATGACGATACACAGAATCTGTGCCATAATCGTACCATAACCTAAAACTGTTTGAAGCAAAGCCATCAAACAAAAACTATGATAATATTWTTTTCTCAGAACGAAAAAGTTTAAGCTTTCTACCTTTTTTCTTAGTTTTCCACGAATGTGACAGAGTCGCTTCATTCCGTCAAAACACATGGCCTCTAGTCGGCCGTTTCCCAACATCTTAGTAACCTGAGCGTACTCTATAACACAAAAACAGCAACCATGAATATGATAGAAACAAGAATCAAAAGATCGGGGGGGAAAAAAGCATAAAAAATCCAGTAACCTTGTCCGTCCTCTTTAAACACGAGCTCACGTTTTTCGGACTCATTTTCGTTCTTTCCTCTTCGTCGGTTTTTACCTCCCTTTCCTGTAAAAAAAATGAGTAGATTTAGTAACAGTAATAAACTAAATAGATTAGAGACTTTATCCTACCTTTATTCTTCGGCATTTTGCTTTCAGTTAAGTTAAAAATACGTTAAATTTTCCTTCCTTTCTTGTGTTTTCTAGTACTCAAAATGAAAATGGCGTCAATATCATTCAGCGGTTGCCCCTTTTGACGCACGTGACGCAATCCTCGATTGTGCAATGAAAGCTATTTTCGGACATACGTCGGATGACGTTCGGTTCTTTCTCGAAAAATCGCCGGATTAAGTTCGGGAATGCCCTTAGCTAACTCTTAAAAATAGGTATCTAGTGACGTGGGTTGTCGTGGTGACGTTACGGTGCTTAACTGATAACATTTACAATGTTTACTACAGCGTTGTAATTGTGTGAATTTATATATTAGGGGGATGGGAATGAGAATATTTTGCAAATATAGTTCAATTTTTTTTTTACTGGTGAAAACTTATATTTCATGGGTGTGAGGAAGGGGGGATTTTTTTTCACATTTAAAATTCTAAATTGGGTAAAACTGAGAAACAAACGCTTTGGTGAAATGCATTATCTTATGAAAAATTCAGCAATCAATGACAATGATTAAAATTAAATAATGGAAAACAAAAAATATATACTTTCCTCGGGGGTACTCTTGCCCATTTTGGGTAGGGATTTGTCAATGAGCCCTCTGAACCCCGACTCCTGTTCCAGAGTAAGATCACTGAAAACCATACCCTGTTCCAGAGCAAATATCCTAAAGGTAAATCTGATTTGCTGAATGATGATTTATTGTATATAAAAAAAACATGTTCCAGTATTGCAAAAATAGATACCCTGTTCCAGAGAGGAGAGAGTATGATTTCATTTACCCTGTCCCAGAGGGAGCATGATTTTATATACCCTGTTCCAAAGTAGAATCGCTAAAACCATACCCCGGGCACRAATCTTTAGTTTTACAACAGCACCTTAGTCCCCAATACAAATAAAAACTTTGCTTCAAGTTCCTATACTGACTCCCAAGAACGATTATTCTTATAAAAAAGCTGCAAGTTTACTTAAGGACTGTAAAGCTCTGATGTTGATCTTTCTCTCCATTTCTCTTTTATATATCCCTGAAAAGGTTAACTAACATAATTGTACAAATTAGGGCAAAGTCATTGTTTACTGAACTCACTAGACCTTACTAATTTGGGCAAATTCGTGCAATTTCTTACAAAGCTTTTCGCTGATACATGAATGCACTCTAGTAGCACGTCACACAGTGTAGTATTTTCATGGTTATAGTACTATAAATCATTCTTTATTTTATCATAATCTGCCTGCAACTATCACAGGTATACAACAACCTATGTAAGTCTAATTTGTCTATTACTTGTTACAGCTATCTAACCCATGAAAGAAAAATGACTATTTAGTTAGTACTAGCGGATAAAGTTATAAAAAAAGAAAACAATGTGTTTAGAGTCTACAAGTACTATAATGCTTAATATTTTTTCACAGGTTAAATATAATCACTCTACTGCAATCCACACAACTACAAATTCTGTACATGTCATTTTTGTTTCACTAACCTTTGTAACAATCAATTAGGGCAGATATTTCAAGCTCATTATGTTACAATAACTACAATTTTTAATATATTTTTAATATAACTGCCATTAATCATTAATGAAATCACTCCAATTTATATGCTTTAGATTGGTAAGAACATTTTTATTCAATTCTATATATTGAGAATTGTCTATCTTTGTAAAGTTCAAAATAGATACATTTAACATTTTGGTAAAAAGCACAGCAACATTTCAGGATAAGAATGTGCGATGCATCCTCACAATAGGGTTTCTGCACATAGGACACAGGTCAAGCCCAGATGCACAGTTTGGACAGCAACTGATGTGTCCACAAGGAAGAAACACAATGCCAACTTCAGCATCCATGCAGATTTTGCAGATCAACCTTTCCTCTTGTGTTCTCTCCATTTCTTGTGTTGACGTGCTCAGGGTACCATTCTTAGTGGCTGAGCCTGGGGGTGCACTGTTGGATCTTTTTAATACTTGTTTTGAACCATTTGCTGGGTCCTGATGATAGGATATACTATGCACTAGACCTAAGTTTAATTGTGCTTGCTCTCTTTGGTCCACGTTTTCCACATTCCTATCAATGACTTGGGGTTCTGGGTCAGGCCTGCACGTTCCACCTGTTTGCTGTGCAGAAGAAGTGCTACTTTGATTGTCAAGAAGTGTTTGCATTAGATCATCTAGATTTGTGAACCCATTTCCAGTTCTTTGAGTTTTGATGGCAATGGCTTCATCAATAGCATCCCTTGTGAATCCCATTTCCATTGCCCTTGAGACATCGCTGGCGCTTAGATCTTCACTCTCTACATTAGTTTCACAAAAAGAAACTTCAGTTGAAGGAATTTGAGAGAGGTTTGAAACAGCTTGTCCGGAGCTTCGAGGACTGCTTTGAGCAGTAGTCTGGGCAGAAGAAGTGGAAATAACTGGCTCGTGTGAGACTGCACTAAACTGTGGGCTTCTACTTTCATTCATAGACAAAATCTCCTCTTCTAGATGTCTCCTTCGTGCTTGTTCAGGTACATGTGGGATACAGTGATGAGAAGATGAGGTGTTCTCTTGCTCTTTATAAAATGTCCTGGGATAATCCTGGGTCCTCTCTTGGGGATGAGAAGAATAGTAGCTTGGATGCGTTGACTGCCGAATCTCTGCAGAACTAGCCACTCCAACCTTTTGACGCCAGTGTGTATTTCTCCCCTGTTGTTCAAACTGTGATATTTGTGGCTGAGCAGACTTTGGATAAATTTGCTCTTTAGCTTGGCTAGTGGAGCTGGGAATTCTTGTTGGGACTTGTTCTTGATCTTCTACAGGTCGATAAGCATGTTTGCCCTTATAGTGTGCAATAACCAGTGAGCAATCAGGGGACCATCGTTTATGCTCCTCCCAAGGTGTGTCATGTGGTTCCCAATTTCGAAGCATAATGGCACACTTGTAACATTTAACATTATCTTGATTTCCAAGATAATAGAAACCAGCAGAGGCAAGCTCCCAGGGTCGAACTGGACAGTCCTCTGGCCAATCCACAAATGTAGTCATCCTGTGGTGCTCACTTTGAAGGTCTTTTGGAGAAGTAATGTGTAAAGCATCCTCTGTGCGTACACGAGGTTCTTCACTGGGCATTGGATGCAACACTGGAATGCCAGAATTTTTATTATAATGAGGAGGAGGATGATGGCCAGAAGCAGGAACCCTACCAGAAGCTGGAGCCAACCTTTCCTGAGTAACTGCTGGAAATCTATAATAGTCAATGCCTGAGAACCTGGTATGAGGTAGTCGTGGTACACTAGGCCTTATTGCAGCCATACTAAACTCATCAGGAGTTTTTAAATAAGGATTGGTTTGTGGAGGGTACCAGTTCTGTGAAACTGAACTAGGATAATTCACTGGAGGGTATCCTTGATATGTTGGTCGGGGGTCGTAAAATGGTAAACTGTTACCAGTGGCAGAAATGAACTGTTCACTTCTGTTAGACGACAACTCTTGACTAACCAATGATCTTGGATCTCTATAAGGATTTAAAGGTTCTTGTCGTTGTTGCAGATATCTCTCTTGTAAAGCCGCCTGTTGAGGTTGTAACAAGGGATTTACGTGGGATAGATAATAAGGTGCTGTACTCGGTGTTTGAAATCTAGGTTCAAAGTATCCAGAGTTCACAATAGATGGATTATAAGTTTTGAAGCTTTGCTCCTTGTATTGCTCTTCAATATAAGGCCTTGTAGTTGGCAGCTGTCTTAAAGGGTTGTTTCCTGATATAACTTCTGTTGAGACAGGCTCTCCATGACATGTAACTGCGTAATTTTCTCTTTCAGTTTCGAAGATAAAAATACAGTTTGGTTTTAGACGTTTGTGTTCTTCAAAAGGATTATCTCCTTCGACCCAACCATGAAGTTGTAAATCACAAGAAAAACAGCTCACTCGATCCTCAGGGCCTGTATAATAAAACCCAGCTTTCACTAAGTCTATAGGTTTGACTGGAGACTCTTTTGGCCATTGATTGAAAGTTTCAAGACGTTTCTTTTCGCTCGCCATTTCGTCGTCCACATCTGGATGGACTTCTTCTATATTACATCGCAGACGATTAACATCATCTAAATATGCGTTTATTCGTGCTTGTTCTAGAGAATTATACGAGCTATACTGAGATCCATGCTCATCTTTACTAGAACTAAGCGAAGCTGGGTACGAAGATCCAGATATCTTGTCTTCTTTCCTTCGTAGACTACAGTCTAGTACTTCTTCTCCTTTTTGTGCAACAGGAGCTTGATTATTCGTACGAAGCTCACTAGTAAACCCATTTATGAAGTATCTTCTTTCCATTCTTAGATAAAAGCTTCAATAAGACCAAACGAATAGTAAAATGAGAAAAATACTCTTGATACGAATAATCAGACAGTCAAAATTTCACGACACAATAAAATGGTGCTCATATAGGACGCGTGGCATCGTAAAATACAGTTCCTTCTTTGGTAAGACGAGATGTGAACGGCTCGTAGGAAACGTCAGTTTGTAGTTAAAGCGAACAGAAGTAAAAATAACGTGAATCTTTCAGCTCAAATTTGAATTATAAGCACATTTTTATCTAACAAGTTATAGTACTTCCGCATTTTGCAACGCATGAGCAGTGAGGACACCTTGAATCATCCTTAGAAAACGTTATCTTATTGGCTGCGAAACCGTAATACTATATAAAGTAAGGTATTGTTTTGACAACAATTTTGTCAATTCTACTAAATAAAACAAAATTTAAAAAGCTAACTAGTTCTAGTAAAAAAAGTTTCGATAATTGAAAGAAATTCAATATTTCTTTTCTGAAAGAAATAATATTCGTATCATTTTTACATCAGGGATAGTCCTGTCCGAGAGAGACTGGCACTACGTTTCAGTCATATCCAAGATGGCGTCTGAAGGTGTTGGAAAAACTGTAGAAGAATCAAAGAATAAAGACGCAAAAGATGAAGATAACAAAGAAATAAACGAGAAAAAACATAGAGGGATACCTGAGGCTGGGTTTCTAGTAAGTTTTTATTATCTCTGCTGTTTTATTTAAGAGTTGTGTTTTATCCATGTCGTTTATGGCTGTCATTGTCTCGTGTCTGGCGTTTGTTCTGTCACTTTGTTATAGTTATTACTTGCATGGTTATATCAGTTCTTGACCTAGACATTGACCTAAAAAAAGCAATAAAACATGTGGTTAAAACCTTGGGAATGATGTGGACAATAAATAATTGGAGGAACATTTGAATGTGAGCATGTGCAAACATCCTGATAAACATGATTCCTCTGTGACTTTTATTATACATTGTTACTGGTAATGGTATTATCTAGAAGAAATGGACAGAGCAGTCGTCATGAAGATGGAGGGTGTTGATGACTGTTGATGCTGATGGTAATGATCAAGGATGTTGACAATGGTGGTGGTACTGGTGATGATTGTAATGATGATAATGATCAACTATGATGGTAATGATATTATCTAGAAAAAAATGGACAGAGCAGTCGTCATGAAGATGAAGGGTGTTGATGATGATGGTAATGACAAGGATGTTGCTTATGCATATGCTTATGACTTATGTTTTGCTTTAGGCCATATGACAAATTGCCTGAAGACAAAATGTCGGAGGCCAAACGGAGAAATGTCAATTAGCAAAACTCTTTCATGACAAAACGCAGGACGATAAAATGTCAAAAGCGAAAGCCTTTCATGACAAAATGCTTGACAGCAAAACATCAAAAGATAAAATGTGGTTAAAGTCACTTGAAATGTCATAATGTCTTGTGACTAATAACAAATTAAGAGAAAATTGATCAAAAAGACAAGACTTTGTAATATGTTCCTATCACTTTGACTTTTGAACTTTTGACTTTGACTTTTTTATTGCCACTCTCGGCCACTGTAACAGGCATCTTAGTTCTTCCAATATTTGACAAGGAAAAAAATTATGGCATTGAAGCCCCTTTGCTTAGATACTGTAGTTTGTAAAAATAATATCAGTCGATAATCATGCAAATACACTACAACTACCGTACATTATAAGATAACTAAGATATAACGCACGCTCTGATTGGTCAATTACCGTTTTATATAATTCAACATAGATCGTGAGGAAATGACGTCAGCAACACAAACAATGTTTTGTTTGTTTCTTATGTTTTTTATTATTTATTTTGAGTTAATCATTAGTTATATCTTAGTTATTTTATAAAAGAGATAGAAAACTCCCCTTGCTTGTGCTATGTTGAGTTATACAAGCACTTGGGAAATTGATAATGATGATGGAAGTGGTGGTTAATGAAGATAACAATAGTGACAGACAGGTAGATAGTTTTCTATTAACTTTTAATGAATGCCTATGGACAAGGAGTTCCATAAATTACTGGCAAACCCCCCCTGGTGATCTATCCTCATCAGCATCAGGTCTATATCTTGGAAATTTTACATAATGATAGTGAGGTAGATGATGTTTCTTTCCCCAGGATGATGTTGAGAAGTACATGAGTTCTTTAGGCACTGATACAGCAGAAGACTCCATTAAAATACTCGATGAACAGCTTAGGAAATACAAGTACATGGAATTAAATCTTTTAGCAAAGAAAAAAAGGTAACAAAACCTCTTATCCACACTTGCTCCTCTAAGCTTGTGGTGATGGACTATAAATATGTATGTGATGACTGTATATATAGTATGTGATGATTGTATATATGTATGTGATGACTGTATATATGTATGTGATGACTGTACATATTAGCGGAGCTCCCGCGCTAGCCAAACACGAGCGGAGCACCATATGTATAAAATGTGGTAAACTATGCAACTAAGTTTTCGTGGTCATCGCATGGGAAACCCTGTGCGTAACGCTAAAAGTGTCACCCGCCAGGTGTACATCGCGTTTCTGATTGGTCGAGCTTTCAAATCACATGTCACTTGGAAAATGACGACTTTTTTAAACGAGCTTGTTTGTAAATATTGTAAAAAGGAAACAAAAAATTATTGAAGAAATTATGGAAAAAAAGGATTCGCCACAGTGTGAAGATAGAAGTTAGGACATTTTCTATTTTGTTTTATGTAGTGTAGAAACATAGCTATGACATTACTGGAAAACGAGCAACAAACTAGCATGAAGAACTGAGCGAAAAAAGTACTTGTTTTGTTTTTATGGCGAGAGTATTCATAGTTCAAACATGATATAAAATAACCATTTGAAAAAGCACTTTTTGAATTCCACGATTAAACAAATCCAAGAGATTTTTGACAAAGTTTAAAGCTAAATAACATTCCTAAAATTACCAGCAAATGAGCAACGAACTAGAATGACAAACGTGCAAAAAAAGTGTACCTGTTTTGTTATTATGGTAAGAGTACTTTCATTCTGAATTTCATTCAATAATTTTATATCTTTCTACAGATAATTGATCTAAATATTCAATGAGTTTTAAAATTACACCAAATATTCAACTGTTTATTGAGCTTTTCGACCTAGTACATGATCATAAAAATGAGCTTAAATTTGTGTTGTTGTGAGATATGTTATTGTATAAAGAGCGGTACCTTGTCTTTAACTTTCAAAAGCTAAGAAAATATTAAAAAACATTTCCAAATGCCAATTTAAAAAAAAAATTTTTTAATTTTGTATTTGCATTGCATTTTGTGTTATTTTCTATTTTGCCTCAGTTGTTCTTGTCAAGTATAAATGAATGTAAACTTATTAGTTTTTCAAAA